GTAGACTGTAGAGACTCACTGAGCCATCTTGTGCATCCTCTACCTTACTCTTTTAGAGACAATCTCACTGAATCTAGAATTTGCTATTTAGGTTAGACTGCTAGCAAGCTCTGACTTATAAAGGCTTGCACCAAGGTTCCACAGAAAAGCCAGTGTGACCAGGCAATCTAGCAGGACAAATTTGTGAAGATGAAGTAGAGGAAGACCCTGGGAACCTGGAAACACCAGGAATGTATCCTGCCTGCCAAAGAAAGCTATAGGCAACAGGACTATAAGGATATGTCTACCGGACCCTGTAAGAAATCACTTCATGCTGCCACATGTCCTAGGCACTAGTCATGAAACTATAGGACTGGGTATTCTCCCTGCTAGGTGTTGGTCTTCTGAAGCCTTGCAAAACCCCTGGTTGGAATGGGATTGTTCAGTCTGTACCACTATATAATGGTAGTATGTGACTTGCTTTCTTGATTTTTATAAGGCCTCATGGTTAAAGAGTTAACCTTTACACCTCAGAAGATATTTTGGACATGGATTTTTGAATAGTGTTTAAGTGTTAGGACAATGGAGATATGTATGCTTGAAGCTAGACTAAGTCCATTTTATGTTGTAGGATGGCAGTCAGTCTTTGGGGGAAAGAGTCAAACACTATGGCTTGATTCTGGAATTATCTCCAATAAGCTTATGCTTTTATGTGACTGTTCCCCGACTGTAAGAGATAGGGCTTTGCTATGAAGCCTTATGAAGTAAGGTCACTAACAGGACAGTAGGGATGGGCCTTTTAAAAATCATTATAGCCACCTCTGGCCATGCTGTGTCCTGGGTGCCCCCAGATGTGAGCCTTGACTGTATCTTTCTGCTTCATGAATGCCATCCTGCCTCTCCTCCTGTGATGGACTGAGCATCTTTGAAACTGAACCAAGTGTACCTTTCCTCCTGCAGGCTGCTTCTGCCAGGCAACTGGTGACAGATGAGTAACTGGGGATGATGTGCAGCTTTTGTTCCTCTTCTGAGTGTCTGTTCTCACAGTAGGAATAAATATACTTACTTACTCTTTCACATGGATATCAGTGCATACTGACTGCCTCAAGTTGTTTTATTTATCTATTCCAAATGTGTTATATGTGGGGATGTGTGTGCCATGTTGTGTGTGTTGGTCAGAAGACAACTTCAGAGAGCTGGTTTTCTCTTTTTGCCATGTATGTCCTAGGGGCTAGACTCAGGTGCTCACTGAGCCATATTACTGGCTCTCAGGCTTCTTTTTAAAGGCTGTTTTCTGGTTATGAATTTCCTCTTTTGTTGTTTTTCATCTTGGAAAGTCTTAGTTCTCCTTCATCCCCCAAACTAGCTTTGCTGGGTACAGCAGCTTTAGTCTGAAGAGATTTTTCTCTCAGAACTTGAAGTAAGCACATCTCTTCATCTCCTCCTGGCCTATAGTTTCTGCTGAGGAATCTGCTTCTAATCTGGAACATCCTAGATTGTGACTAGGGCTTTTTCTCTTGAAGATTTTAAAATCTTTCTTTGCCTTGTACTTGTACTTATGCCTGACTATAGTGCTACGAGTTAAAGATTCTTTTCTGGACAAACTGGGGTCCTAATAGACCTCATTTACTTATATATTCATATTTTATCCAAGATTTATTTATTTATCCAAGTCTTCTCATATTATTTCATTGAAATAGTTTATGTCCTTAACTTTTTCCTTCAACTTTGAGTATTGAAAATATATATATATATACTCTTTGTTCATTTAATGGTGTCCCAGAAGTCCTGAATACTTTCTATCTACCTTTTTTGTTGTTGTTGTTTTCAAGACATGATTTCTCTGTATAACTCTGCCTGTCCTGAAACTTACTTTGTAGATCAGGCTGGACTTGAACTCTGAGATCTGCCAGCCTCTGCCTTCCAAGTGCTGAGATTAAAGGCTTGCACCACTACTGCCTGACTCTGAATACTTTCTTTCATGTTCTTTCCCCTTGCTGAGGTTTCAAAAGGCCTATCTTCCAGGCCACAGGGGAAGAGGACATGTCCTGATGCAACTTGATGAGCTGGGGTGGATGGGAAAGGGAGCTGCCCTTTTCTGAGGAGAGAGGATGGGACTGGGAGGGGAGGAGGGACTGGGAGGGGAGGAGGGGACAGGCTACAAGGATGAAAAGTGAATAAAATAAATAAATGAGAAAAGAAAAAAGGCCTGTCTTCAAGTTCAGATATTCTTTTTAAAGTTAAAATAAATTGAAATAAAATAAAATCATTTCTCCCCTCTCATATTCCTCTTTTTATTGTTACCTGTGAATACATATGCATAAATATATTAATATAACCTGCTGAGTCCATTTAGTGTTTGGTTGTATATACATATAATTCAAGGGCTGACCATTTGGTATTGGATAATCAGTTCAGGGCTCATCCCTGGGAAAGACTAATGTAGTCCTTATTTGCCTGTAGCTCTTTGTCTAGGGGTAGGGGTTCATGAGATTTTCAATAGATATTAAGAGTGTCTATTAGTGTCGTCATTGTTCAGGTCTTGTTTAGGCAGCCATATTGCTCAAGTATCCTGGGTGTAGCTTCCTTGTCACTTCTAGGAGACACAATTTCACAGCAGACTTCCTGATCCTATCTTTCTACCCCTCTTCCATTATATTTCCTGAGCCTCAGGTGCTGGAGTTGTTTTATAGATGTTATCAGTTGGGGCTGAGCACCCCACGGTCAGTGGTTCACTCTGACTTCTGTAAAGAAGAGTTTCTTTGATAAGGGGTATGGAGATTTGAATGAGAATGGCCTCCAGAGGCTCATAGATTTGAATGCATGGTTACCAGGGAGGGGCACTATTTAAATGGTTAGAAGATGTGGCCCTGGGAGGAAGTGTATCACTGTGGGTGGGCTTTAAGTTTCAAAAGCCCAAGTCAGGCCCAGTCTCAGAGTCTCTCTCTTCCTCCCTCTTATGGATCAGGATGTAAACTTTCATCTACTGCTCCTCCACCAAACCTGCCTGTGCCACACTCCCAGCCATGATGGTTATGGATTCAGCCTCTAAAACTATAAGTAAGCCCTAACTAAATGTTTTCTGAGAGTTGACATGCCATGCTGTCTCATCACAGCAATAAAACATTGATGGGTGAGAGCTATACTTATCAGGCTGGATGGCAGCACAGGGTTCGCCAGACTGGCTGGGCCTGAGGGATAGATATGGAATGTGGTGAGATGGGACAAGGTCAGAAGTTCAGATATTCTTTCATCTGCTTAATCTAGATTGTTGAGGCTAGCAACTATATTTTTTATTTAATTTACTGAGTTCTTTATCCCAAGATGGCTGTTTGGTTCTTTTTCAAAATACCTCTCTATAGAATTTCTCATTCATAATATGAAGTATCTCTTTAATTTCATCTATCTATATTCTCTTGTATTTCACTTTTTAAGACATAATCATTTCTTTATCTTTCAATAGTTTCTTTGTAAATTAGTGTCAAAAAGACTGGGTTTCACTATGACAAATTTGTCCTTTATGTGGCTCATATTCAGCCATGGCTCCTTCCTCTACCCAGTGATAGTCATTCCTTTGAGTTCTTTACCAGGCACTTCATCTCTAGTTTATCTGGCACTTACTGCCACAGTTAGGGTTCTCTCTGAGAGGCATCATGTCACCTCATTCCTGATGTCCCTACACTGAGACCTGTGCATCTTAGTAGGCAGCTCTCTCCTGAAGATGTGTCTTGAACTATTATGCACTGTTGGCTTCAGTTCTAGATGGCCACCACAGAATAGCATCCCTATATTCTTTTTGCTTGTGATTAATGGCTTTGGGCACAGTGTGTACTGCAATGAAGTTGAAACCCTCTGACCCTTCTGTGGGGGCACACCAGAGCAGAGCAGGCATGGCAAGACACTGATGAGGATGAAGTACTTGGCACATAAGAGGGAATTAAAGCCCTTTCATATAACTAAAATCTAATTTCTAGGATCTTCTGGTGCTAAGGCCTTACTATTCAGGATCTGCTGAACAGCAAAGGCTTTCAGCATGCGTGACTCCCAAGGGTTAGGAGTACTTGTCCTATAATCAGTCAATCAATGGTGTAGACTAGACACTCACAGGCAGGTGGAAACCTCAACATTCACTCTGAGGAGCATGAACCCAGTCTTGAGAGCAGCATATGGCTGGACAGGGTGCATGGACATGGCAGCAGCAGGAACTTCCTAGGTGGTGTAGGAGCAGAGATTTAGTGCTCTGTTATGCTTCTTCTATAGTGCACCCAGGTGGTCTATATAGACAGAACTGATCAAGTTCTCTTTGGCTTTGTAAGTCTGGGGACTGGTCAATGCTTGACTCCATGGACCTGCTCAAGGTCCCATCAGTATACCCACATAGGCAGAACAGCATGAATGTTGCACTGGTCCCACTCCACCCTGCTGATGACAGGTATCTGGGTGTAGTGCACTTGGAACAGGTAGCAGGAACTTCGTGAGCCTTCACTGAGCCTACATGCATATGGTTTCTCATGCTCCTAGCAGCCAACCCTTTTCAAAGGGAAAGCACTCTGATCTCCTGATTCCAGAAGGTAACACTGTTTTCATATGAACATCTCTATGGTGTGGGACACAGTAAATCACTGTGGAGTCCTAAAGATGGAAATGCACACATGAGGATTCTGATTCCAATACCAGCTCAAGTTCACACATCTTACTTCTCAAGCTAGCTTTTAGTAGCAGCACCCAGAGGGCAGGGGTGGCAGTCAATGGGATATGTGAGCTCCTTTTCCAAAAAAAATATTTACAGATTCCAGGTTTCTGACGTCAGTGAGCTGCCAACATGAAGACTATAAAAACTTCCAGGAGAAAAAAATTTCCTGTACATACTGACAGTGTGGTGGCCTGTCTGCCACCCTTATAGGCGGCCTGTCCTCTAGCTGTGGATGTGAGGTGGCAGGCACCAAGATTCTGTTTTCCTCACTATGCTGCTGTCCCAGGTTTCAGAGTCTAATTTCGAGGGTGCTCTAATGATCACTCACCTCTGAATACAATTATGCATCTTCAGCTCTTTGCAGGAGTTGAATGATGCGCATCTCTGTCCAGCCATCAGCCAGGATGATTATCTTTGAAACCTTTAGAACAGGTAAAAAGGGAAAAAAAATTAAAAATGTTTCTAAAAGCACAAAAAACTGATCAGAAACTCACTAAAATAAAAATCTAATCATTGAACATTGAAAGAGTTAAAAACAAACGGGAAAATATTTCCAACACATATATCTAACGAATGACATGTGGGCATACTAAGTACACAGTGTTCTGAACCGATAGCAAGACTCATAACAGAATTGGCAAAACTGAAAAGACACTGGATAGAAAATGCATAAACAAACACCAATGTCTAGAAGCTCTCCACATTAGTCATTAGGAAAAGCTGAAACCACAATGACATGCAACTTCACAGTCCCCAGAATGGCTAAGTTAAAAATCAGCAATGCCAGATACCAGAAGAGATCCAACTGGTGTTGAATCTGAAACGTCCCCTCTGGGCTCTTGTATGAAAGGCTGGTGGGACTTTCTGATTGTGTTACTAGAAGGTGACAGAAACCGAGGAAGGTATGGACTGATTCAAGAAAGTGGGTCACTGGGAGTGTGACTGAAGGTTCTACTTGTCTCGGCCTTCTCTTTTCTCTGTCTCATTCTACTGCCTGGCTGCCATAAGGTGATGAGCTTCACTCCAGTGTTCTCTTCCACCATGGTAGACTCCCTTACCACAGGTCCAGAGACAGTGGAGCTACTCTATTCATAATAGCTAGGAGATGGAGACACCTAAAATGTCTTCAGCTGATGAATGGATAGTGAATCTTTATGCACATACACAATAGTATACCATTCAGCTGTAAAGAAAATGAAATCTTCAAACTTACAGGTAAATGGATGGAACTAGGAAATACTGTACTGAGTGAGGTAACCCAGATCCAGAATGACATGTGTGTTCTCTCTCATCTGTAGTCCCTAGCTCCAAGTCTTCAGATAGTATACAACCTGGAATAACTTCAGGACCAGGGAGGTAAAAATGGACCTTAGGGGTAGAGAAGGAGCTCTAAAGACCAGAATAGCAGGATATAAAAGGGGAAATGGAGAATCGGAGGTATTAAATGAGGGGGTGAAAATACAGGAGGAGGGAAGGAGGATGGACAAACAACATAGAGGATGTTTAAAATAGCCATAGGGAATATTATTTTATATCTAATACATAAAAAGTGTGTGCTGGCTTAATGAGAATGATCTCAATAGGCTCATACATTTGAACATTTTATCCCTAGTTAGTGTAACTGTTTAGGAAGGATGAGGGGGTGTGGGAGTGTTGGAGTGGGCATGACCTTGTTGGAGGATATGTCTCACTGGGGGTTTCCCTGTCTCTGTCTGTGCCTGTTGTTGAGGATGTAAGGTTCTCAGTTACTCCTCCAGTGCCATTACTGTCTGCTTCCTGCCATGATGATAATGGACTGAACTAAGAAATCCATTATACTCTTTTATAAGAGTTGTCTTGGTCATGGAATCTCTTCACAGCAATAGAATAGTAACAGAGACAAAGTATATGTATATACATAAAGGCATTTCACATACACACACACACACACACACACAAATGAAGGTAAGCTACTTATGATAATGCTCCTACCAAGAGCCATAGACTATTTAACAAACCCCAGGCATGAAAAACCTTTTGAGCATTGGTCAGAAGAGTCCAAAAGATTCCCCCAAACAATGTTATGTTATTGCTGTTGCCCTTGGTTGTCTCCCAGAGTTGAAGGTAAGTCCTTCTTGCGGAAGACAACAATCACTTTGGCACACAGGCAGGATTCAGTGGGTTCAAGTTGGATCTGACCTGAAGGCCTCTTCCCTGAGGAATAGTTTTCATATTGTCAGATAGTGCTAAGAAAGCTGCCAAGGGAAGAACGCTTAGGAACCACAACAATGACCATCAGAGCAATAAAAAAAAGTGCACTTAGCTCTTGGCAGTAACAAAGATCTGTCTAATTAGAAATTATGCCTAATCAACAGGAGGGAAAGCATGCCTGGCATTGGAAAGCCAGCCAAGTACCCATGGCTAGTGACACCATGGCCCTTAGAGAAGAAGTCACTACTGCCATTTTTATAACCCAGTATAATTCCTAACTGCACCCCAAACACTTATTTTTATACCCATAGCTGGTCAAATGCAGAGCACAAGTGTCCACGGAGTACCCAACCCTAACTGCAGAGAACAATTGACCATGGAGTACCAACCCTAACTGATACATCTACAACACAACTCCTGCACCTAAGGTCAGGGAACATCACAGATGATGGTGCAGAAAGCATAAGAGCCAGAGAACCAGGAAGTCTGATGCAAGACTGTGTCTTCCAGATAGGACAGGGAACTTCATCTATGAAATCACAACAATATGACTGCTTAAAAAGACCCAAACACTGAGAACACTAGCTGACAGGCCTGTGTGGATGGATAAGTCTCATAGAGCTAGATGAAGAGCTGTAACAACTGCTCAGAGAGGGAGAATTAGTCTTCCTCGGGGATGCATTCCCTAAACGGTTATCCAATACTAAAGACATATACATGCAAGCAACACTAACTGACTCAGCACCCTGTCCCCATCCCCACACCTAATAAAGAAAAAGAGGCCACGAATTTGAGGAGCTGGGAGGAATGAGAGTGATGGGGGGAGGAGACAGGGAAAATGATGTAACTTTATTTTAATTTAAAAAGTAAATGTTTTAAAAGGACTGGCAAAAGATTTAGATAGCTACTTCACCACATAAAATGATTAATAACCAGATGAAAAAAGTCTTCCACATCATTCATCTTCAAGAAAATACCAATTAAAACTGTAATGCTACACAATCACAAACTCAAAAGAATGGCTGTGGTGGTTTGACTAAGAATAGCCCCCACAGGCTCATATATCTGAATGTTTTGTGCCCACATGGTGGAACTTTTTGGAAAGGATTAGGATGTGTGGTCTTGTTGGAAGGTGTGCCACTGGGAGTGAGCTTTGAGGTTTCAAAAGCCCAAGCCATTTCCAGTTAGCTCTCTTCTGCCTTGTGGCTGTTTGTCTCAACATGCAAGCTCTCCACTAATGCTCCAGTGTCATGCCTGCCTGCCTGCTATTATGCTCCTCATCATGATGGTCACAGACGCAATCTCTGAAACTGTAAGCCTCCCTAAGTGCTTTCTTCTATACATTGCCTTGGTCCTGGAGCCTCAAAACAGCAACAGAAAAATGACTAAGACAGGCTGAAATAAAGATGGCCAACACCTGATGTTGCTGAGAAAGCAGAGAAATCAAATCCACATATACTATTGCTTGGACTCTAGTACTGTACAAACACTTTGGGAAAATAGTTTATCATGTTCTAAAAGGTTAAACACAGGGCTGGAGAGATGGTTCAGAGGTTAAGAACACTGCTTGCTCTTCCCGAGTTCCTGAGTTCAGTTCCCAGCAACCCAGCAATGGTGGCTCACAACAATCTATAATGAGATCTGGTGCCCTCTTCTGGCATTCAGGTGTACAAGCAGGCAGAACATTGTATACATAATAAAATAAATCTTAAAAAAATAAAGAAATAATAAAGTAAACATTTAAAAAAATTAAACACAAACTTGATTCTACAACTACACTCTTAGATGCTCACCCAAGAGACATAATAATAAAATCTACACGAACACTTATACACAGAAACATTATGTTGTTCCCAGAAGCATCATTTGTAAAAACCAAAGCTATACAAATAATCAACACCAAAATAACCAAAGCAATTCAAATGCCTATCAGTTCATAGGCAAGAAATTGTTGTTTCTTAACAGCGAATCCTTTAGTAATACAAAGGGATGGCCTCCTACAGATATATTTTCCAGTGCAGGTTAGCCTCAAAAATGGATGTGAAGAAGCAAACCCTGGGGAGATGTCTCCTGTAGTAAAGTACTTGCCATGTAAGCATGAGGACCCGAGTTCCACCCCAGCACCCGCACAGAGAAGCTAGCCCTGGTGAGAGTGTTTGCAATCCAGCTAGAGAGGGGAAGATAGAAGCATCCCTGGGCCAATGAAAGAGCATTTCTCAAAAAAAACCGAAGGTGGACAGCTTCTGAAAAATACCGTGAGAACCCACATCCTCACACACTCCACCAGCAAAAGAAGCCAAATCCCCAAAACCATATTCTAACACTTTTAGTTTACATGAGACAAAATAGGTCACTGGCAGCTTGGGGTTAGGAGTTGACTGGACTGACATGGTGAGGTTTTGGGGACAATAGGAATTTCTAAAACTGGACTGTGGTAACAGCTGTTCAAATACTGGAAAAACAGATTTGTGAACTCACAATGAGTGGGGGTTAATGGCATGTAAACTGCACCTCAAAAGATGGTTTTTAAAGATTTATCTGATAATGTTCACAGCAGCTTTATTCACAACAGCTCCTTATAAGGTCACAAAGGACAAGTGGACAAATGATGATCTATTCAAGGGACACAGTATTAGCTGTCAACAAAAGCTACTTAAAAGATGGAGAGATGGTTTAGTGGGTAAAAACTTAGAACAAATGGTAACCAACCATGAAGCCAAGCCCTGAGTTCAAATCCTCAACAACCATGTAAAATGCTGGGTGTGGCCACTGTATCTATCACCCTAGTACTATGGGATATTCGCTTGGATTTATTGGCTGCTCACCTATCTTCAGGTTAAGTGACTCAAGGGAATAAGGCAGAAAATGATAGAGTGGTGTCTCTCAACCTTCCCAATGCTGCAACCTTTTAATACAGTTCCTCAGATTGTGACTCCCAACGATAAAATTACTTTCATTGCTACTTCATAACTGCAGTTTTGTTACTGTTATGAGCAGTAATGTAAATATCTGTGTTTTATTATGGTCTTAGGCAACCCTTGTGAAAAAGTCATTTGACCCTCAAAGGGATTGTGGCCCAAAGGTTGAGAACCACTGCCACAGAGAAAATGCATGCACTCAAGTTCAAACTCTAATTGAAGCACATTTGTAGAGCTGACAATTCACTTTTCTTTATCAGGAAAATCTTAGGACACCTTCCAGAATCAAGTTTACTTAATATGAGCATCTGCT